AAAAGTTTCTTCTTCCAATGTCTTGAGTTTTGTAATAAAAGTGTGAGAAACTTATTTATTAAATTTTTATTTGTGAAAAATACTTATAAGATGAAGCTTGACACCTAAAAGACTAGTTATTATAAAAAATTATCAGAAATTATTGAAAGCCCAAGTACTTGACTAGAGGAAGAAAATATAGGTACAAGTTCAAAAGTTGAAACTCTACAAAATAGTGTTAGTAATCTCTTAAGACCTCTCATTTACTTTTATCTCATCTTATGAATATATTTTGTACATTATTATTTTATAGATATTTGTGTTAACATAATAGTTTGAGCAAAATATATTTACAATATATTTTGCGGTGAAGTGATTTGGCATATATTGAAACTACTATCATCCATATCAATAATTAGATTATGATTTCAATTACTAAAAATCTTGTGTAGTATGACAAAACAAACATATAAATGCTAAGTTCTATTTCTTCCGAGAAATTTCTAAGAATTAAAAGTATATATATTTGGTAAGTTGCAAATTTTGAAGAGTTGTAACAAGTATCTCAGTTAGGACAAGTTTTTCAAAAGCAAGATTCAAAATGGCATGAGAAGACCATAAATTGCAATGCTTTTAGAGTCGAAAGCTACTTGATATGGGTGTCATCTTCCCATTTATGTTGGCATCTCGATGATGTGGGACACCCGCTCTTCATATTATTCTTTGGTTGTGGAGGGAGCTTGGTGTATCTGACCCTACAAAAAAGATAAGTTTTCGAGAGAAAAGTATTGATCTTCATGTATGAGTGTTTTTTTTTTTTTTTTTTTTTTTCTTTTTCTGATTAAAAAAAGTTGTTTGAATGAGTTTTAACAATTTTCATGACTAAAATTCATTTTTATAGCCACTACTAAAATGTCCCCAAAACTTCATGTCTCTGACAATATTATTATTAAAAAAAATTTAGAAAAAAAAAACTTATTTACTTATCCAAAATAAAATATATCTTATATATAAGCAATTAATGAAGCTTATTTAGACAGACCCTGAGCCTGAGCTTCATTTGTGTGTTTTATTATGACCATATTTTAAATTGGGAGAAAAATCTGCACCAGTTTCGAGATGGATCAGAATGAACTTTGAACATGATAGCACCAACTCATTCTAACTTCTTTTTCTTAGTACTGATTCTTTTAATGAGTCAGGACAGTCTCCCACTTCCAAATATTTTATGCAAAATAGAAGAAATTACATCTGCCAAGACTTTTGTTAATCCAAAGAAAACCTCTTCCACCCAGAAACTCGCATAAACCTAAAGCCTAAAGCAAGTTTTTCTTTGGATTATCAAAGTCTCTCTTGGCTATATAAGACTTAAAATACAACACCAACCCCAAATCAAACTTATGGGATATGGACTTAGGTTGATTAAAATTTCATGCAAGAAAAATTAATGGGCACCCAAAAAAAGAAGAGTTGGCACACTCTATAAATCTGATTATTTGTATATTTCAAACCTTAGATAAATAAATCATATTTATGTAGTCTGTCAACTCGTCTACTAAATCTCGAATCACTTCATAGTTAATTATAGCCATGTCTGGTGATCCAAATTGAGAAACTCGCTCATCCATTCTAAATTATTAATGGGTTCCTCCTCGATGTAGAAATCAAACAAGCTGTGATCATCCTCTCCAACAAGGGTAGAATTTGAAATATCTGTTGTTTCCATTTGGGTGATCATCACCTTTGTTTCCATGGGCTCAGGCTGCTGTGTTGTGGAACTTTTCTTCCGTACTCTTCCATTTTGGGTAATCTTCTTGCTCAAATGAGAATTCCAGTAGTTCTTTATTTCATTATCAGTTCGACCCGGGAGTCTACCTGCAATCAAAGACCATCTAAACACACACATATAGATTAATCACTAAAATAGAATTAATTTTAAAAAATTAGAAAGAACTTAAAGAAATGAGTTTATAACTTGCCTGTTACCAAGGAGTTTATGAAGCCTTAGAATCAAGTCTTCTTCTTGTTCAGATATGTTGCCTCTCTTTATATTAGGTCTAAGATAATTCATCCATCTTAACCTGCAACTCTTCCCGCACCTATTAAGACCTATAACAAGCAACCACACATTAATTTTTATATATTGCCTCCCACTATATGCGTATGCATATCTATATACGGTTACATGTGTGTATATACCTGCTAGAGCTGCTAGTGATTTCCATCTCCTTGGGCCATGGATTCTAATAACTTGAGCCAGTTTTTGGTCTTCCTCAGCCGTCCATGCTTCTCTATTAATTTCTTTCTTGTTCAAACGATTACTTGCAGGAGCAGTTGGCATCTTGATTAATTTCTTCCCTAGTGGCTTCCTGTGTATATACGTTCAAACAAATACGACAAAGTGAAAAAAGAGTTATGTGCTTAATAGACACAGGGAAAGACTGTGGTGGGTTAATTTCTTCTAATACAGATTAATGAAAGTATTATTCTGGGGTGTTTAAGTACACGTTAAATATATATATATATATATATATATATATATATGTAGACTCATGGCTAATAATAATTGAGGAGAATCTAGGACACAGTACAAGCTTATACTGATATAGATATAAGACACAACTGCTGCATACCCATAACAGCTACTTTGATAATTAAAATGGATCAAGTTGGAGAAAAAGGTCAGCAGATCAAGCGGATGTTATCATTCCATATTCAAAGTGCTCAGTCTATTGTGGAGAAAGAAACAAATAGTGATATATATAAATCGTTCTACACTATGCAGACTAGCCACTGTACCTTTTGCATGTGATACGTGGATGATGTTTATATACACATATATGCATGTATGAATTTACTGAAGAGAGACAAACCCATGTCAAGAAATGATTGTGGGCAAAGAATAATAGATTTGAGGAGAGGAAAAGAGTCAAATAAGAGATTAAGTTCATCATTTTACTACGTGGTTGTATCATACTTGGAGTAATAAAGTGGATTAAGAAATAAGGACACCCATAATTGCAGTAATTAGTAAGATTCTTCTTCTAATTAGCATACTGACCAATTATATATATATATATAATCTCTGGTCTTAAGGGCACATGATCTCCTCTTATTTATCTATCACTGAATTCTGTGCGTCATCATTTTGGGGTGCGACTCTTGTCTTAAGGTATATTTATTTATTTATTAATTTATTTAAAATAAAGCATAGAAAAGAACCTGTAGATCTCATTTGGAGGGGCCTCTATTCTTTTTCTTTTACAATAACCACAGATTTCTGAAACAATTTGTCAGACCAGCCAATGAAGAGGTGTCAATCATGATTATTGCATTAACCCAGGCCATTTTCACCATACCCATCAAATTAATATGGAACCAGCTCCTTCAATAATATGCTCATTAATTTGTTAGAAATAATAATTTACAAGTTTCTAAAGAGTTAGAATTAATAATTTACAAATGAAAGAGACGCAAGTAAGGAGTTTAAAATAATAATTTAAAAACTCTTTATCTATCTTACATAAAATTAAGGATATAAATATGTGTTTTTTAAATTTTACTTAAGCGGTTATAATTCATACATTAGAGTTAATTATCATTTGTGTATTTAGAATTTTAAGAGTTATATTATTACCTGTATATATACTCATGTACTTTGAAGATTTTAACGATAACCACAAATAAAACTTTCTATTAGTCTCTCTTATTTCTTACTTCAAATTTCAACAAAATATTATATTGAGCTACCTTATCTCTTCAAAATTTTCCAACATATTTTATATTATGGGTCTTATTAATGGGTTTTTTCTTCCTTAATTTTAAATCATACCCCATGATGTGAATTAGTTTGCTCTTAATATAGTCCCAGTAACTTTCAGTATCAAGTAATATTTGATCTCACTCTTTAATTCTAATTACATTTTAAATCATACTCCATTTTGGGTAAGGAGTAAAACCTTCATTAGAAGTGAGAAATAGTTGTTCTAATTTTAACTTCATTAAGCCCAAATCCATAATTAAAGCCCAAATCTGAACCTTCAGAAATCCCTTCATTCCAAAATACTCTCTGTTTCCTCTTTCCTTCCTATTCATCGTCTTCTCCGTCTCCACTCTAAACCCTTCCATTTTCCTTCTTTTCCGCTGCTTTATTTTATACTTCTCATCTTTTTTCCATCATCTGCAAACCCAATCTTCCTCCCTATTAATTGAAGATCATATGAACAGAAGGATCTTGTGACTGGCTTCTTTCCTCCGTCAATGCGTGCTTCAGAGCTCATCATTGTTCGGGCGCACGTTTATACAGTCAGGTAATAATTTCTATAGTTTGAATCCTTGATATTTACATTGTATATACATGTATGTATTGCTGGAAATCGATTTCTTGGTGGCTCTTGAAGCCTATACTGATTAGTGTTTTTCCGTTTGTTTATTATATTTGGGTATGATTTCTGAATTTGATTGGTTTTGGTTGAGGGTATTGAATGTTGAGTGATGATCAGAGTTGGATTTTCACAATTTGCATACGATGTTCCTTGATTATGAATATGTGACAAATCTGAGGTCATGTTGTCTTTTAGATATTTCGTTGATTTTATATGACCACCTCTAACCCTCAAGTGAATATGTTTGATGTATATATATATATATATATATATATATATATATAGTCTTTTTTTAAAGCTAAATTCGGTTCCTTCTTCTTTCTTCTTTTTTTTTTTTCTTTTCCTGTCCTGATTTGAGTATATTAGTACTTCGTTTCGGCTACATAGCGATTTAGATTTACAGTGTAAAAGAATTGCTATTCTTTTAGATATATTTCTTTTGTTTGAGTGAGGAGCTTGCATGAGTTAGGATGTATCAATAAAAGATCTGCAGATTTTCTCGTGGGATTCTTAATAACCCGCAACTTATATATATATATATATATATATATATATATAATATTTATGCAGTTATAAATTATTAATAATAATAATTAATTTAAATGCTAAAGAACTTAGAGTTTATCTAAACTATCCTTCAATAAATTAGAATAAATATCACCCTTCAACTCTATATTTATTTTCCCATGCAAGTTTTGAAAGAGATTTTTGAGGAACATGAAAGAGAAGGAAGGGATTCAATGATATAAATCTAAAATGGATATTAGTATTACCTATTTTTGTTATTTTTTTTACATAAATTTCAAATTATATAATCATGCCTCTTAAAAGTATTGATAGATAATATGTGGAAGTTTGGTAGTTTTCTTACATAAATTTCGTATTACATGATTTTGTTGCATTCATATAAATCTAGAATTTTAGGTTTCAAGTAGGTAATCATGCCTCATTAAAGTTTTACCTACTAGTGATGATGTTGCTAGGTGAGGTTTGAGAAAATTAACCATGCGATTTAGTGACTCTTGAAAATAATAAACCAAGTTATAGATGGTTTTAAAAGCTTTGCATTGAGGGCGAGAATAAGTACGAGATTTTAGTAAGATTAAAAATATGACTTATCGAACTTTTAAAAATATTTAGAAAGCAATGAAGAGATTGTACAAAAGGGTTATACAGATAATAGAATTCCGTATGAGTGACCATGTAATATTCATAGTATCCTTGCCAAAAAAAGAAAATTAATGTCTTCATATATGAGAAAAGTTAACTACCTGATTTATTGAGCTACTCAAAATCTTGAAAAGACTATGTTATAATGTTTACAGATTGACAAGTCCACCTTCATTGTACAAGAGTCCATGATGATCTTTCTTTTTTAATGTTAAGGAAATATGTTCCAGTCCCTAATAATGTATTAGAGCTAAAATATTTTCAACTTAGAGATGATTTAATTATAATGAGAAGTGAGTCAAAATTATTGATATAAAAGATCAAGTGCTTTAAAAATATACAAGTTTTTTTTGTGTCAAGATCCAATTGAGTAAACATACAGAAAGAGCAACAACTTAGAAGTTAAAGGAATAGATGGAGCAGTACTTTTCCTTATTCATTAATTCAGATATTGAAGTTTAAGAGACCAAACTTCCCTTTAGGAGGGAAGAATTTCATAACCAGCAAATTATACATATATATATATATATATATATATATCATAACAGTAAATAGAAAATTAATATTAATTAATTATTAAGGTATTAAAGTTTACTTAAACTATCTTTTGATAAAGTAATATAAATATTAAACTCCTACGCTCTATATTTATTTTGATACGTAAGTTTTGAAAAATATCTTCACGAATACTAAAATAAAGGAATTCAGATAGAAAAATTTAGAATTGCCGTTAATATTAGCAGCCAACTGAGTTGTTTGATGAGAGAAAATTAAATTTAAAGGCAATAGGCAGTGAGTTTTTCACTTGATTTTGGATATTTTGGTCGTGCCAAAAAATATATTTCTGACCACTAATTAAGATGATTTTTAGATAGATCTGATAACTCTTCAAATAAATTTTCTTATAATATCAAAACGATATTTTTGTTTGTTATTAAGAGATATTATGACATGAAGTTGAAGATTTAATCATCCTGATCTAAAAAAATTTAGATTGAAAAGAGTATAATCCATCCTTAACCTTCCCGAATGAATATGAAGCTGATACTTGTATGTCTTTCGAACTTTTATATTAGAAGTTTCTATATAGTTTTCATAATTTTTTTTAAGGTAATATATTTATGAAAATTTTATTAGTTTCATAAATTTATTATCGTCAAGAGTGTGCTCAATTTTTAAGGTTCTAGAATTCAAAATTTTGAGAAAATGTTTTTGATTGTGCTCTTAATATATATATTTATTTAGAGATGTATGCAATGGTATATGTTTGATACTAAATTTAATTTTGTAGTTTGTTTAAGTTAAATTTTAAAATAATATTTTTGAAAAACTTTTGACAGACCAATAAAAGTTGGGTTGGCCATCATTTAGAGAGTTTGGGTGAGTAAGGTTGTTCGATTACTACTGAGCATTGCATATTTGTGAGATTTTCTCGTGAGGATTAAAGAGGAGATCTTATTAGGCTTTTTTCTCTTCACATTTGATGCATCCCAGCTGAAAGTTGGCTTAATTGTTTGTTAGATTAGAATGTGGTTATTGTGTGATGATTTACTTATACTTTTTTTATAATTTAATTCTATAATTATCATATCTTTAAAAATACTTACTTAGGTCTGATTATTTAGATATCTTCACAAGATTCAAGAAGACAATTATCAAATTAGGATTTAATTTTGAGACTGTTTTACTAGTTTTCTTTTTTCTTTTTCTTTTTCTTTACTACTTGTTGATTTGATTCATGGAAATAAAAGAGTCAAGAAGATGAGGGAGTATCTTAACTTGTGGCTGATGGAATGGAACACCTTTGTAAGCTATTTGGGGATGAGGGATTGCAGGCATCCCTTCTGGGTTGGTACCTAAACCTGCTTTGTTACTGTTTGCTTGTGGATTTGTTCTTATCATGTTGGTATGCTTCTTTTATTTTTCCACAAAAACAAATAAGATATTTGAACCATTTGAGCAAATATTTACACACAAAAAATTTAAAAAAAAAATGAAAGAACCAAAATGATTATTCGAAGAGAAGATTGAGGTTTACCCTTGGACTTTTTTTTTTTTTTTTTTAAATTATTTTTTATTATTTTTATTGGGATATATTCCTTCTTATTTACAGCTCTTTTCCATTGTAAATATTAATTTTTATGGATGTCGTAAGATTTAGTTCTTTAGTGATTAGTGTATATTAGTATTCTAATTTTATTGGAGTCTGAGTTATTAATTAATTTCGTTAAAAAATATAATTTATATATATTTTTACATAAATAAATCTTATTTTATTTTTTATTAAAGTCGCAATAGTCATGAAATAATGGTATACTCGACCTAGTGACCATAATTTATTTCTTTAGCTTCTTGTAATGCCTTTTAGCTTATAGACAAATTAATTTTTATGTGATTCAGATTCTTGCATCCAATTCATATAGATATAATAGAAACTTTCTTGTTTGATTTCCCTTCTACTCTGAATTCCTTCTCAAATTGTATCTTATGAAACATTTACAGAAAATGTAATAATTCAAAAAATTTATATTATATCTAATTTCCAAAAAAATTAATATATAAAAAGTAGATAACATAATAATTTTAGCTTTTTTTTTTTTTTTTAAATGTATAGTCTGATAAGCATAAAATATTGTATTTTGCATGGGAAGCTTTTTAAGTTATCAAATATTTATATATATTTGAAATTCATCATATGAATATAGATATCTTCTATGTATTATTCACAACAACAACAAAAAAGGTACCACTAAAGAGTAGAAGTTACTTACATCAACTCAACTAAGACAAGTACTCTAATACAGCTAAATCATGATCTAAAATAATATATATATATATATATACACATATTTATTAAAACAAATCAAAATCACTCTCTCCTGAAAATGTGATTCATCTCCACATATATAAAAAATTTCATATTAAGATTATCAAACTTTTAACTTTATATTATGATATCTCGTAATTTAGATGAAATAGAATGCGATTTTGATACCCATTAAAAATTTCGTTTGAAAGGTTATTAGATTCATTTAAGAATATCTCTAAATGGTGACTTGAAATATATGTTTTGGCACCACAAGTTGGTCGAAAAATCATACAGAAAACTTGTGATCTATTGTCTTTAAATTTAATTTTCTTTTATTACATAGTTTGGTTGGCTATAAATTTTGGTAGGAACGAAAAGTTTTTATCTAGAGCTTTTTAGTTAGATATAATTTATTATATGGTTTTGTTAAACGGATAAAGTTATTATAAAAAAATTATAAAAAATTTTATGAAAAATAATCACACAACTCTTAAATATTATCTATTAATATAAGAAAAATAATTAGACTAACCTTGATTTAAATTTCTATGGCTAATTTTCTTCTTCCTCATTCTTGCTCATCACGTGCCTCTTTGAAAACTTATAGTGGTTTATTGAAGAATAGTTTAGGAAAATTCTAATATTTTAATAATTAATTAATTTATTATTATTATATTATATCTATATTTTTGGTTGTAAATCATTAAAGAATGACTGTCACTTTAGCCTCCCATGATTTTTGTACTTAATTAAAATTTTTCCCACCAACTCATAGGATAACATTGTCTGAGAAATCAATAAACTTTGTAAATATTTCGTTATATTCAATTTAATAAAAGCTCAAGTGAAAGACTAACTTTTTGGTTTGAGTAAGTTGAGGTGCTTAACATCTTTCATAAGTTATGTAATGCACCATGACCCTTAATTGAAAGGATAATTGGTCTCTCCTTCAAGAAATTCAATTATCAAGTATCCACGATATATCTTCTCAAACTTTATTCAGGTTGCATCTCCAGTCAAATATTTTTGGGTCTATCCATGGCTCTTCTTCCATATTCTTTATATTCTTGAAGATAATTTAGCAATGAATAAGGATTTATTGTTCAAAACTGCCTCATAGTGGGTGTTTATTAATATGAATTCATTTTTATCATGCAATTTGCTAACAACATGCCAATGTTATAGTTTATAAGTAACTAATATACAAGATCATATGTATCTTGTCTCAATACTTAATCATATGTGTGAGGTACTTAATACTTCCATTATAATATATTAAATCAATCTTTTTCAAGTATTTATTAGTTTATCTCTAGATATCAAGGTGCTAGAAGTAGCCAAGTAACAAATGATATTACTCAGAGTTGGGAAGACAATATATTTTGTACTCATAAATTTTTCAATATAGTATCATGTATTAAAGTGTATTAAGAACATCTAATATTACTTGAATCGAGCAAGTAACATTAAATATTACATTATGCATTAAATATCTTTAAGTAGTATTAAATATTAATTAAGTAACTTTAGCAATCAAATGGCATGAGATATCAGCACATGTAACCAATTAATTGCATAACTAGAGTAAGTGACAGATTTAATTATATCAATATGCAACGAAATTTTGATTGATCATATTTTTAATTTAGAGATCCAACAAGTAAGTAATGTAAATAATATGTTTAATAATTTTCTAATAACTTTAACTTTTTTTAAAAAAAAGCAATGCAATTGATTAGTTTAGGTGTTTCTCTTGTAATAACTAAGTTATTACATTACGTACTTAATTAAGAGAATAAAAAAGGATGTTTATAATAGGTAGCACTAAAAACCATGTACTCTATATTTATAACCCAAACAAAAACGAGATGATTTTAACTATGATATTACATTATATACCCTAACTACGATATTACATTACGTACGTAATTAAGAGAATAAAAAAGGATGTTTATAATAGCTAGCACTAAAAATCATGTACTCTATATTTATAACCCAAACAAAAACGAGATGATCCTAACTATGATATACACGCAAGTAAATGTGATTAGTGATGTGCACAAGTTGCTTTCACGTTTGAGATTTCTCAAAATCTGCCAACTTCTAACTCCCACTTATTACAATTCATTACAATTATTGTTTTTGGAAAACAAACAAACAAAACGTGATTAAGATGATGGGTTTCTTTTATTTCTTAGAAAAAATTAAGGTATATAATATATATATATATACATACATACATACAAGAATTTCTATAATTTGGGAGTGAAATAGCTCCTTAGATCATAGCAGATTCTGCAATTTATCCCCCCCACCCCCAAAAAAAAAAAAACCAAAGACAAGAAGTGGCAGACAGAGATATTGTGGATTGGATCACAACGTCAACAGAGTATTGAAGCTACGCTGACGTCATAATTACTTTTTTTTTTTTAAAAAAAAAGCTAATTAACTCTCTTTTCTTAAAAATAAATAAATAAATCGTCAGTAACCAGCAGGGATAAGTAGTCCCCAATATATATGCACGTCTAAATAAAAGCCAAGGCCTTCAGAAGAGAGCGTGAGTAAGGAACAACGAAAACAGAGTAAGACACCCAGCCAAATACAAAACCTTACCGGTTACCGGAGATTCCAACCGGGAAACTGAAGATGATAGCCTACATAGAGCGATTCGTCCACGAAAACGATGCAGAATCGAAGCCGGATGATGACGGTTCCGGTATATTCAAGTCTCTGGACCTCCAGGGCAGTCTTGACTTCGGAGCCTCTGGCTTCGCCGCAAAAGATTTCGGTGGCATGCATTCGGTTAAACCCTGGGCCGTAATTCGACCTTCCGGCGCCGATGACGTGGCGACGGCTGTCAAGGCGGCGTCTCGGTCGTCAAATCTGACGGTTGCCGCCAGGGGTAACGGCCACTCCATCAACGGCCAGGCGATGGCCGACAGGGGCCTTGTTATAGACATGCGCTCAACAGCTGACAACCATTTTCAGGTACTCAATGTCCGAGGAGTAACCTGCGTCGATATCTCCGGAGGGGCATTATGGGAAGATGCCTTAAAACGGTGCGTTTCACTCTTTGGCCTTGCTCCTAGGTCGTGGACGGATTATCTCGGTCTAACCGTCGGGGGAACGTTATCTAACGCCGGCGTGAGTGGCCAGGCTTTCCGGTATGGCCCTCAAACGTCTAACGTAACGGAGCTAGATGTCGTCACGGGAAAAGGAGAGATTTTAACTTGCTCTGAAACGGAAAACCCAGATTTGTTCTTCGGGGTTCTTGGTGGTCTGGGTCAGTTCGGTATCATCACCAGAGCTAGGGTTTTGCTGGAGCCGGCGCCAGATATGGTGGGTACTTTATCTAATTGGTCTGCTTCTCCCCAATCTTTGAATAAAAAAGGCTCGAATTATGCATTTAATTGCTTTCTCCTCGAGTTCAGTGCATGATGAACAAGTTTAAGCTACGTAATTTTTGTTGTTTACGGCATTATCATTGGTTTTGGTGTTGTGGTGATTAGGTAAGATGGATAAGGGTGGTTTACGCAGAGTTCGACGATTTTACCCGCGATGCTGAGTTCCTGGTGACGCGACCTGACGGCGAATCCTTCGACTACGTGGAAGGCTTCGTGTTCGTGAACAGCGATGACCCAGTTAATGGATGGCCTTCGGTTCCACTGGACCTGGACCTGGACCTGGACCATGGATTCGACCCGACTCGCATTCCCCGAACTGCTGGTTCTGTACTCTACTGTCTCGAGGTGGCTCTTCACTTTCGAAATGGTGACCACTCATCCGACGTTGATACGGTAATTTACCAATTTCATCACCAACCACCACCCCTCATGATTCCCTGCATCGTGTCTCATTATCATAAAATGCAACCCTTTGATCATATAGGTTGGAGTCAAGAAGGGGTTGTGTGGGTGGGCCATCCACTTGACTGAGTCTTGACTTAAGTGGGTCCCGTGTATAGATGTTGACCCATTAAGCATTACCATTGGATCGTCCCTGCTGGACAGTTAAAAAGTCAAAAGGTCCAGAATTACCTCCACGTGTAAGGAGGTCGGCCATGGTGCACGGCTGAATTCCGCCCCCCCCCCCGGGTAAAACATTCATGTCACCGAGCTGTCATTGCAGCAGCTAAAAAGAAAAAAAGAAAAAATTGAAATTGAAAACAATTATTTAACAAAAGAGAAAATCGAAGCTTTAAATACTTAATAGTAATTTTTAAATAATAAACATTTCCACAACAACACAGACTTGTTAACTTTGAAACTGATCATAAGGTTATAATGTATTTTCTATTTTAACAAGATGGTCACGTAAATACCCTTGTGCTTAATCATAATTACAAGAGCCACAACAGATGGATTCCCCACCTCTTCTTTGGTAAATTAATGTGTTATGAAGATTAAAATAATAATGGTATGTATATGGTGTAGTGTTGATCATTGAGATTTGAGTTATGATTTGGTCCCCACAAGTTCCACAAATGGACAAAAGGCCATCATTTTCTAGAATCTATTGATCATGAATGGTATGTCTCTTAGTTTTTATCAAGTGACTTAAATGCCCTTATTACTCTTCCATTTTTACTTGTATGTGCGCATAGGTTGTTGAAGTATTGCTTGGACAACTAAGATTCATTAAAGAGCTAAAGTTTCAAGCAGACTTAACCTATGTGGACTTTCTCTTACGTGTAAAACGTGCGGAGGATCATGCAAAGGCCAACGGCATCTGGGATGCGCCCCACCCTTGGTTGAACCTTTTCGTGTCAAAGGTTGATATCGTTGATTTTGATCATGCGGTGTTCAAGAAGATTTTAAAGGAAGGGATTGGTGGGCCAATATTGGTGTACCCTTTGCGACGAAGCAAGTAAGTATTCCTCCTTTCCCCGCATAAAAAAACATCTGCAACATCTTGTCTTAATATTTGGACCACATTCTCATTATATATATACTAATAGTGTTGTCGTTGTTGCTACCCGCATGAATATCACGTGAAGGCCACGTGGCTTATGGGTCCCAAACAATATTTGTCATGTCAATATGTAGTGAATCACATAATTATAGAAGTTCAATACATAAACTATTTTAGTTGAAGAACTGAGGAACAGATGAATTGCTACTAAAATGCTACCAATTACTTGATGCAACTAAGTGTTGTACCATATAATTAAGGTCATCACTTATTAATTTTTTTTAAATATAATGCGTTATTATATTAAATTTGTATTAAATAAGAGTTAAGACTTAAGTTCTCAACTAAAATGAGAATTTAGATCAAAACAACACCTTATATTTGTTCTTCTTCTTGCATCATGTTGCAAAATTGCGTTTGTTTATGAATCAAGTTAAAGGTGGTTGTTTAGGTGTGTTACCACAAAGCAAGCATATAAAGGAGAGAGTATTTATGGCTTTAGGGCATAGGTACCACATATATCATATCTCAAATATGACTAACTGTATATAGACCTATTAACTAGTCACTTAATATTAGATATGGAATATTTTGCTTACCACAAGCTACTCAATCCCTAATCTATCCAACATGACCAAACTCAATTGAGCATAATCCAACTCAACAAAAGTACCCCATGAACTAAGAAAAAAGTACTTACTCTTCTTAGTATTCTAACTTAATTGACTATTTCCTTGGTATGTTACCTAAAAATCAATCATTATTTAGTACATTAATCTATTAGGATTATTTCAATTATTGGAAAGAGATGGTAGATGAGTTAGTGTTTCAAAGACTATTACAGTAGGTAAAGGCTTGTTTTTTAGTATTCAATAATTTATAAAATGTCTTTTACAAGTTCTTTTTTGTCTAAATTTGGTTTATAACTTGATTTTTACCAATTAGATAAAGTACTTCTATTTTTTTACCTATTTTTTTGTTCATTTGTTCTCCTTATTCATATTATTATTCCCTTTTTTCATTTACATTTATTTTTTTTGCCCAACATATATAAAGAAGAATAAGAAGATTTCATTTCTATCATTATGTTATTTTTAACTTTTCTATTGTTATTATATGTCTTTATTTCTTTTATTAGTTCACCTTAATTATCATATTGCATTACAATTAGAGGTTAGGTAAATTTATTTCTTTTAATTTGTCATTAATTTCATCACGTAGAATTCTATGAAGAGGGGAATAACATTGTGTCTTAATTAAAGATTCAATTACTTTTAGCGCATTGGGAGAAGGGAGAGAAATCAATATGATCAAAGTGTATTTTATCAGGTGGATTTGGAATTAGGTTAGGTCAATATGTGTTGGTAATTGGGTGAATTTTACTGAGTTTTTGTGTCACATCATCGTAATTTTAATGATAGAACAGTACTCAATCTAATATCTATATACTAACACTCCCTCTTACGCGAAGATTATTAAACTGAAAGTATGGATGAAGTAAATCACGTTATTCCTATTATTTTAAGATTTTAAAATAATCAATTAAGGTATTAATGTCTAAATAATAGATTAGGTCATTTTCTATCAGTTTTTCTTGTTGAGATAATTGATGCAATATATTATCTAATATAGTATTAAAGTCAAATGTCTAGCATTCAATAAGTCTATGTTATTTAAGTGTATCAAAGCCATAGGTACATGAATAGTAGCCTACGTAATATGCTTGCATCTAAAGGCATCTACAAATATATAAATAATACATTTATTTCTTTAAGTTTAAACTTTTATATAATTGATTATATTATGAAATTAAGCTTTTTGGATAATCGGTCATAATCTATATTATTTAAGATAGTAGTAGAATAACAACCAATGAACGGTATTTAGTAGGTTTACATATAAATGCACATATTATTTAATTTTTTTTCTTATCAGTATATAGGATAATTGGTCTATTACTTAATAGTAAAAAAGTTATGATAAACTCAATAAATAATAATATCTTAAATAGACAAAATAAGAGTCAATTAAAATATATATATATATATATATATATATGAAATTATTGAGTTTTGAATAATATACTCTCTAAGCTAAAGGAACAAAACAAGAAAAGAATAAAAGATGAAAGATAAAAATGATGTAGTTTAGTTTCAATCATTCATTAGGATGTAAAATATAATTAGTTGTCAATTTAAATTATCGTAATTAAGACCATAATTTGTCTAGGTTCCATATTCTTGTACGCTAATCACATTTGAGGGAGTAGGAGGTCAAATTTTGATTGGAATCTAAGCATTCACAATGTGCATTTTTATATCAAAATCACATTAGTAATAGATATTGAATTTGAATTGTTTGTGTCTTAAAAAGTGTTGCTTGCTCAATTAAAGTAGTTCCAAATTATAAGAAATAATAATTTATTTTGGAAGATAACGTAGTTTCCATTCTTGGTGATGTGATGGGTATTGCAATTAGCTTTTATGATATAGGGGACCAAAATGGAAAATGATTTTTAATCACCCTAATGAATAATTTGTATATGTATGTATGTATGTATACATACACACATAATATAGCAGTTAATTAACATGTGAGATTAATGATCAGGTGGGACAATCGTACGTCTGTCGTTCTACCGGCGGATCAAGGAGAAATATTCTATATAGTGGCACTGCTCCGGTTCACTCTTCCATACCCAGCCGGCCCACCGGTTGAAAAGTTGGTGGCTCAAAACCAGGAGATCATCCATTCCTGCATCAAAAGAGGCATTGATTTCAAGCTCTACCTCCCTCACCACAAATCACAAGACGACTGGAAACGACATTTTGGAAATCAATGGTCCAGATTTTTTGAGAGGAAAGCCGCTTTTGATCCAATGGCTATCCTTGCACCGGGCCAGAAAATTTTTACAAGGATCTCTTGAATCCCCACACATTATTTTTCTTTTTCATTAAAAAAAAAAAAAAGAAAGAAAAATTATTTTTTTGGGTTGGTTTGATGGGGTCATGTCCTTCGTTGTCAATTAATTAGTAATTGACAAAAACAATGTTTGGAGCAATGTAAAGAAAAATCTTGAGCACATATTATATATATATATATGTCCGCTTAATTCTTTTTTTTTTATTATTTTTTTT